TGTTTTTCAAGAAGTTAATGTGTTATAATATAGAACAAGTTTGTTGGAAATTAGCTATAATATTTTAAAAATGTATAAAGAGTATAATAATATTATTATTTTATCGTTTGAATGAACGTTGTATAATATAGGTACAAATCTGTTGACCAAATCACATTTTAAATTATGGATGTTCTTCAAATGTCCATTGGTGTGCGCACATCTTAATGCCAGAGGCGGAGGGCAAGAATTGTATTTTTTCAACCTGTGGAAATATTTTTTAGGAGAATTGTTGAGTAGGTAAAGGGACCAAATAAGTTTGCATCTTAAATATAACATTTATCAAACAATATTATAGGAAATGTAATAAGTACGTACCTACCTACCTACAATAATAAAAAAAAAGTGAGCGATGTCACTGGACACCCGGTAGAAACGTAGTTTCTTTTCCAACAAATATTATAGATTACAAACACAATTTAGTGGAAAAATTCAAAATAAAAGTAAATATCGATAAGTAAATGTATTTAAGTAAATGTGAAAAATGAATGAAAATGAAAATGATTATTATTACTATTTAATTACTATTATATTAATTATATTCAATAATCGAAATTCGAAATTACAGGCATGTGATAACTGAAATATGATACGTATGATGTTTGTGATGTAATTTTTTCCAAATATCTTGAAAATACTGCATCAATATATTGGTGTCGTCTCTTGTTGTAGATTCTGCTGGGTTGTTTATCATAATATGTAAATTGAATGTGTCACATCATTTTCAATGTGAAAATTGAAAGTTTTAAATGTCTTCGATTTCTTATCATTAAAATGTATGTTAAAGTCACGAAATTGTTATAATTTATAAAAAATTATAATAATTATAAATGCATGATATGCAGACCTTATTACACGGTTTCAAATCCTCGGGTTATACCCGTTTTCCATTAGGTACTTAGTCTATACCAAACGCGACGCACAAACAAATGTTATCACCGCAAAGGTAATACACTATGCAGGGATATATGCAACAATCAGATTATTCCACGAAAATAATTTCATGAAATAAAAATGTTTACGCGTCATGCAAAAAAAATTACATAAGTCCACAATATTATTTTATGAGCGCCTGAAGTTAGAATTTTGACATAATCGCGAAAATTAGCTACCTAATTAATTATTCGTTATAAATTCTAACCAACTAGGTAGTCAATTAGTTTAAAAATATTATTCATGGGAACTTAAAACTATTAAAACATATTATTATATTTTATATACATAATGACATTTCAAATACAATATTTTCGTAATAGATTAATTCAACCTACCTGTAAGTTGTATTTCTAACAGTAAAGTCAATTACTTTAATAGCAATAATATCATAAAATATACTTGGACTTAACACTTAAAAAAAACTTAAAAGCTCTTGTAAAATGAAAATGAATATAATGAAAGCACATTCACATCACACCTGGGGGGCTGACACAAAAAGCCTTATACATATATATATATAAGTCATTAATACTGTCATGAATACATTATGGGTCAATTATTAATAGCACTGCCAAAGAAAATCTACTCAAAATATTAGATCATTTACATAACGATGGTATTAGCATTTCAATAGAAGCATTTAGGACCAGCTCTATCGACAGCATGTTATGTTACGCTGGAGAACTACTCAAACTCCAAAAAGAAAAAGACATACTCATCTAAGGCATAAAAATAAAAAGCACACCTAACCATATATTCCCATATATTCCTACCTACAACAATATTTTTAAAAACCAAAATATAAATCCAACTAACATAATCAGGAAACGAATACCACACATACACGATACCTTCTCCCATTTGTGCACCAAATTTATTTAATAAAAAGAAAAAATACATGCATAGTAATATAGGCTGACAAGCATTGTTTTTAGTATAAATACTTTACCTAGAATCTTGCATTGTATAGTAGACTATATAAAATTAAGACGCTTTTTTTTGTTCGAAATAAACTCCGAAACTATACCTATTCAATAGTCGTGAATCATAGGTGGAACTTTTCTCCGGAGTCCGGGCAGACATCTTTCTGGAAAGAGAGGCCTCCATCCCCGACCGGCCATGGCAGAAATTTATACGGGTGCCCAATTTGAAATTCTGCCAAACTAAAATACATGTGCTTACAAAAACCTATAGTACACTCCCCTACCGTCAAAAATCACTCAATGCCCTAAGTTTTCGAGAGTTAAACAATAAAAAATAAAACTTACTTAAGAACATTATAGACACATACATAATGTACATACTAGCTGTATTAAAATTATCAGTAAAAATAAGTGATAAGAAGTGAAAAGAAATGAAAAACTTTTGTGAATATAAAGACGAATAAATATTAAATTTCTCCATAAATACCAATAATAAAACTTTCTTAATAACATAGATACAGATAGTGTATAGTATAATGTATACATCTTGTATTAAAATTATCACAAAAAATAAGTGATTATATTAAATATAATCAATTCTTTTTTATGTAAGAATTTAATATTTCAACTTTGTGTTAATAAGTTATTAGTATGTTTGACTTATTTCAAAAAAATAATTTAATACATTTTTTTTTATTTTTAGGTAAATCGGATGAGTCTAGTCCTACATTAACGATCCTTAATAGAAAGAAACCATAGAATTAAACGTCAGGTAGGTATATAATAATATATATAACTATCATAGGTATTAACTACATGTGGTTCATATTACATAAATTATTGAATAGGAATAATTATTTTTATTTTATTTAAATCAAGTTTTTTTTACTACCTACGAAGATTACATGAACACTATTATTTTAAGCTGTATGGAATGTGTCATACTAATCTGAGACAACTATACTTAGTTTATCAAACAAAGCAATTGGTTATTTAGTAATTCAAATTCTGTTGAAATTTAATAAATAATAAACAAAATATAAAGTCAAACGGTATAAGGGGCGACCTATTTATCGTAAGACACTATCATTATCATAGGTAGCTCATAGGTACCTACTAACCTTTTATACTTATCTATTGTAGTAAATTTAATTTGTTTTGTAAGTTGTAACTGATTGACTACTCCCTACTCATTCAATATTTGATTTTACTTCATAATATTATCTTTAATGTTTTCAAGATATTCAGTATTTAATATTAATACTACTATGTTTATTGTATACGTTATGTATTAATATAGATAATATGTTAATTTTTGTTACTCCGCAGTCCGCAATACACTAAAAACCCCGAAATTATATTTTGGGTCAGACTTTACCTTTACGCTAATGTATCAATTCAAGTGAGTATTAGATTTAGAGCAACAAACAGTTGGACATTTATGTGTTATAGGTCTGCTCCCTGGCGTGATATATTATACGTATTACATTATATCGCATTCACATAGTGAAATCATTCATTTTATGAACTGCATATCCAGATAGTGAAATTTTTTCAGATAATATATTATGGACATCCATTTCATGAAATACCTATTGTGTTACTTTCTGTAATAATTATGAACCAAAATGTTTAATTTTTAAAGTATAAAACATAGGTAGATATTGTCCATTTCATGAAATGAGTGATTTCACTATGTGTCTATGTGGATGTAAATACATAAATAAAGCATAGCCTTGAGTATATTAATCGGTTTATATTTAACTTTAACGACTGGTTTTGAATTCAAAATTCATCTTCTGTAACTACCATTTAGGTACTACAATTTACGTAAATGTCATAAAAAAGGTTATTATGTACTTAATAATATTTTTAAAGCACGTTATTACTTATTTCTAGCTAATGACTTACAAATAATAAGGTATCGACAAAAAAAATTAGCTGTAACGGAGTACAGTAAACCAGAAAACCCAGCGATACCCTGACACAGAGAAAAGCATACGTCACAGAGAGAGAGAATCACAATGTACATATACACTGAAGTATATGTGATCCACAAGTGGCAAACACGGGTGTATGACGTATGTACAAATAGAGTATAAAATACAGGTCCATTTCATTCGATCGAACACTCTATCTTCAATTCTTACAACATACACATCAACGGAAAAGTAAGAGTCTATTATTGGAGACGACACGAAGAGTACCGCATAAAACACCGCCTGCAGTAGATATTTGGGTAAAATATTAAAATAACTATAATATATTTAAACGTAAAAACAAGGTTAAAGCTAAAGAAAACTGTACAAACACCGAAACAAGTATAATAATATAAACGTCTACTACTGTTAAAAATATACGTAGCTAGGTACTACCTACCATAGAACAATACTATTAGTTTAAATACACAGTTTGAGAAAGATAGGTATAGAAATAGTTTTTGTGTAAATTATAATATAAAATATATAGCCACTAAAATGTATTAATATTTACTTAAAGTGTATATGCAGTACAATATGAATATACTATGATTAATGACTATTTTTATGTATTACTAAAATGTATAGTAAATACTATTAATAGGTATAAACTATACAGTGCTGCGTTTTTTTTGTATAATATGTTTTATGTCATCATTCGTTTTATACTGCAGCTATGTTAAGACGTATGTCATAGTTAAAATATTTGCTTAATTTTTAATGGGTATTACTTTATTTTTTTTTATGTTTTTTACTATTATATAATCGTATACCTACTCAGTATACTCTAAAATATTTAGTATATACAATATAATATACATCTAGATTGTACTCTCGGTTTTCATAGATTAATTATTTTCATTTATTGTCAAACATAATTGAATAAAAAAAAAAAATGACTGTGAATTGTTAAACAAGGATTCCAACGTGATAATATTATACTTTAATCGAGGACGTGATATGTTTCTTAATATCATGTATAATAAATAATAATGTATACGCTTAACGCACATTTTACATTGTTCCTCCGATGCAGATAAATGGAACCATATTATTGAACTCTCTGGTTTTTTTATATAAAATTATAACAAATTTGAATACTATATAATAATATAATATCCTTTCAAGCTTGTATACATTTTGCACCACACGCGTCCGTGCCGTTGGTAGGACTGGTAGATGACACGTGTTCCGGCTTGTCTTCTGGAACAAAATAAAAGTTTACTCAAATTAAACAAGTTAGGAAAGCTAGTGGCGTATATAAAGGGGGTTAAGGGTTAACCAGTACCCCCCCCCCCCGGAAATTATATAAACTATTAAAATTGAAAATTAAAATTGTTTTAATTATATGCCTTAAATCGATTCTAATACCAATAATATAAATTATATTTTAAAAATGTTTATAAAAATGAAAGTAATAAACTCTTGTCACAAGATTGAAGTCAACCTTATAAACTTAAAATAGACATTTTAAAATTATATGGGCAGCAGTATATATATCATACAATTATTATTGTCATTATTATTACAGCCTATAGGTACTTTAAAGAACATTGTTATGAATAGTTTAAGTTTGTAATAACATTTTAAGCCATACGAATATACAATACAATGCAATATGCATGGTCTATTTGTCTGATTATACATGTTTTATTAAATACCTACTTAATAAATTGTTTAATATTTTAAGATTATAATAAGTAATTTATTCTCAATAATATAATATACATTCTTGTATAGTTATATTACAAATTGTACAAGTAATAACTAATAGTATTTACTGTTTAAGTAATAAACGTAAACAGTTGGTACCGGATACATTGTAATTAATATTATATTTTATTTGTTTGAACTAAACGCTTTGTAATGTTTAGATTTTCTTGGAATAAGGTAGGTATACCTACCCGTAGTAATGACTTTTCGAATTGGTCTTGCATTATTTAAAGAGTTATAATATTTTGTACAAAGCCAAACGTGAATAACTACTGCAGTTGTTTATTGTTTAACAGTAAATATTTTTGAATATTCACTACCTATATACATACCATGACATACCTATAATACGTATAAAACATACATCACTTACAATAATATTAAATCGATGTACGATTACAGTACAGTAAGTATGCCGATTGTGCTAGTCTCGATTTGCGAATAATATTAAGTATTAATATTATTATATACTTCTGCGATACTCTGCGTCAGGCACGGATCAAGACAATTTTAATAAGAGCTTAAAGAAATATGGTTATACCTTTCTATTTTAGATTACGTAATTTATAATACAAATTTATTTTATTGGTGGCTTAGACAACATGGAGTACCCGAGTACCAACACCTGGAGCGTCATTTCAGTTTTAAAATAGGGCTGCAACATTTTTTACCAGGACACAATCATGAAAATTGAAATGTAGCCATGTTGAATTTATTTCTAACCTTATTATTAGGGATGAAAAATATAATTAATATTTTAATTGATAACACTGATAAAAGTAAAATGTCATTATTCATTAATATACATTTTCTTTCTATATCTTTAATATCTAAGTATATCTATATTCTATGTATATCCCTTTATTTATACAATATTTTTATCTTATATAAATTATTTCAATTAATTCAATTTAACTGATACATCGCGGGCATCGGCACCAGCATGAAATTAAGGCAGACCAATATGATAAGGCGAAAAATAGGGCCGCCAATGTATACCCTGAGATACTCCAAAAGGCGCCCCTGATCAATACCCGGTTAGGGGGGGGGGTATGGTTACTATAGCCCATATCAATATAATTGACCCTAAATCCGCGCCAGCTCTGCATCATAATATTATGAATTTATGATCGTGTGTCCACATAGTATCGAGCAACTTTATGTCACTGCAACGCGTGCGATCAATTTTAACTTAATATATATATAACTTAAGAGATTCAAAATGGTACTAGGTCCTTCTGAATCCCAAAGTAGGTAACTAACTTATATTACAAAAATAATAATCCTAAAAATATTAAACTCTTCTACTGACCCGCTGTAGTTGTATTCAACGAATTCGTTTGTAGATTTAAACAATACGATAAAAACTGGTACACGAATTCATATTGAGCCTAAAAAATTTTACAATTGATTAATATTTTGTGCGTGATGTCTTATCACTATATTTTTCTTATTTCATACATTATTATCTTAACAAAACCTATAATTTATCATTTACTATATAGCTTTGGTAAATGACACATCGTGAGATGAGGAGGGATTATTGTGCGTAGAGCAGCAGTTATAAGTGCAGTAATGGATAATGGAATTATGGCGTAAGGAAATCAGGCAGTTGAGTGTATGGACACTATGTCACATATAATAATTATTAGTGTATTTTAGAGTAAAATAATAATGTTTTACTAAACAATCAATATATTATACTTATTATAAATATTTATTGTTCATAAAATTATATAAGTATTTTACCTGTGTTTGTACCATAGTAGTCCGTTGTTCGCGCAATCTCAAAACGGTTTTGAAAACATTTAATTTTGTTCTGTCCTGGTGGATTAGACGCAATAGCATGTCACAAGCTATGTAAGTTCCGGTTCTGCCGACTCCAGCACTTTTGAACAAATTTGTTAATAGTCATAGGTATTGATAATACGTATTTAGATCGAGATTAATCTAGACTAAAAAAGCGGTTAAGTGGGGAACGCTCTGCTGTACATTTGGTGTCTAGAGTCATTGTAGTGGTAGTGTTAAATTTGAATTCAATTATATAAAATAATTGAATACGAACAACGATTCTGAGCTAAGTCGGTCTGAATTTTTCTGACAGCCTATAATTTATATTACTAAGTAAGTATAATATATTATTTTATATTATTGTGATTATAGTAATTTATTTTAGTAAGTACCTTCTACAGTAGATTCAATTCATTTTTACCGAAAATATTACATTTTAAAATATCATTGGGTGTATAAAATATAATAATATACTCTAAAAGTTTCATAATAAACCCACGACTAATAATTTTTAATTACAACAAAGTAACTACGTAAAACCGTTATTATTAATACGAGCGGTTTAAGTTAGACATTAGATATACACCCATAAAGTTAATAAATTCTCATACAACGAATTTCTTATATTGTTGTTGTTCGAGAATATTTGTCAAAATTCTAAATTCAGATGCTCATAAAAAAAGTTATAGTTTTACACTTAAATTTTCACTCACAACAACTTATGAGGAACCTTGTGTTACATTTTCACGTATTTTTATAGATATTAATTGTTAATCAAAAATGTTATATGCCTATAAATAGCTCAACACAAGTAAAAATATTTTGAAAATATTATACTATATAGAAAATGTTAATATAAATATTTAGTGAAAATGTTCTGTATTTACAATAATATTTTTTAGAGTTACACCAAAAAACAAAATTCGATTTTCTCCTAAACCGATTTTGCGTAAAAACTTCTGTTTTTCCTTAAATTTTTTTTGTCACGGAAGTTGAAAATCGAAGCATTGTTTCAACTACTTACCGTATACACAACCACAAAAAAAAAACACACACATCATAGTAAAATCAATACATTCATCGCTTCGCTCAGAATCTAACATTAATTGATAAATAAATAACACCTATTATTGTAAATTACACTCACCTACAATGCACCACAACCAGACCTGCAGTTGGAGATTTTGCTTGCACTACACGCCAAAACTGCAGTAATTTCGACGGGTCGTTTGGTGTTCCAAAATCCGGCCAGTCGTGAAATTGAAAATGTCTTATCGTCTTTTTTAAATGGCCCTAAAAACACGACCTATTTCAACTTTGACCTATTATTTTGTATCTTCTGTTGACGATAGGTGATACATCACGATAGCTATACATACATCCACGAGTCCTAACTCCTAACTCCTAAGATATGTAGTTGGTAGTTCAATATAGATCGATACTGTTATTAGTTTCAATTTTAGAGCTGTTTCTGTAAGTATAGAATGATGTCTAAGCAAAAATATTGAATTGTTGCGGTTGGAGAACTTGTTGTACATTCAAATATTGTTTTTAAAATGAGATTTTTAACACGAATACGTGTATTACAGGCCACTATTACTATCGTATATTAATTTCATAATACACAGAGACAGAGTATAACAGGACTATTTAAAAAATATACCAAAGTTTGTAATGGAAATTTGTGAAATAGTTCTGTTACACCTTATATAAATACTACGTTGTTTATGGGATCTAGAAAGCAGTGCTTTAGTTTATTAGTTAATTTTTTTTAAATCCTAATTAATTAATTAATTACTACATAATATAATTGGTTTACTTACCAATAAATACCGTATAATAGCAATGTTTTATGGTCTAAAGAATTACCAAATAAATAGTTATCACTATTTTATAAGAATATAAATACATTTTTGTTGACTGTAGGTAATACTTTACAGTTGAACGAGGTTCAACTAACATTGGATAAATCGAAATCAATTATTGGTAAATTTCTCGGTTATATATAGGTGGCTAGTTTACCTCTTGTATATTATAATTCTATACCGACCAAGCAAGGAATAGTATTTAGAATAATTAATATAAGTCGCAATTTTTGATAGTAACTTTCAAACAAAATTATATATCCCATATAAGGACCACCAACCCGACGCACCGAACTACAGGCATTAAAAATGTGAATTACGAAATAAAAGTTCAGTAATCGTATCCTTTCAGGTCTTTTGAAAAATTAGATTCGTCTAAAGATCTCTAATTTACAGCTACCTATACATTATTATTATACGAGCTGATATGTACTTACCTTTAGTACCGTCAATATTCTGATTGTGAACGAATAACGCTCTTTGTCGACAATCGTAATGTCGTTTTTAACTTGAATATCACCAAAGACTAATTTTTCATTGCTGTTTGGAAAATATTTATCGCATTTTATCTAAATATATAAAATACTCTGGTTATAATTATTGGTTTTATTACCAATAAAACACTAATAAATTATAGAAAATATTTTTGAATTTCACAGATCACATTATGTTAAGGACCACAATACATAGGCGCAATTTCAACTTTTGACTTGGGGCGGCTGAATATATTAAAGGCAAGCAGACCATTGCAATATAGCATATTCAAATTGTATGACCTAGGTTTTTTTTTGAGGGGGGGGGGGCTATGGCTAAGTTTGGGGGCTTAGCACCCACAATCCCCCCTCAATTTGCGCCTATGCCACAATAGTATCATAAGATTATTAAACTTACAATTCATTATACAAAACACTATCACAGTATATCTACTTGGTTTGAAAAAACATGACGAAATAACGTCTTTTTTAGAATAAAAGTTAATTGTATGTTATTTTAATCTAATGGACAGAAGTTAGAGTTGGAAACTTGTATATTAGAGGACTATACCATGTTGGATACAGACGAAGTGGCATAAAATTGTAGATGGTAGTTCCATAGCCAGGGTTTTTTAATAATCCCCCTCCCTCAACCACCATTGTCATTTTTGTAAAATAATAGGTACAGCCATACAGGTTTATTATAACAGTTCAATATTATTGATTTTTTTATGTGCAAATCATATTCATGTATACACTAAAGCCTTCCCCCCCCCCCAAATAAAAAAAATCGATAAATCCTGGCTCCACTGATATATGATTCATTGTTACCTACTATTATATTATGTGGTGGACCTAAACACCTATTAAAATATGTAATAATTTATAATTTTCTTGGAAGAATATTTTACTTCACCTTGTCTTTTTCACTTATCTGACACAACATAACAATCGAAGCCACTTCTTGATCCAAAACCATTTGCCACATATCAACGCAAGTATTTTTCAAGGGACCTTGGCAAGCTATATATTGGCGATTACCTTTGGAATCCTGAAAATATGAAATTAATTTGTTTAGTATTATATACATACCTAGTTCAATATTTTACACTCCTGATCATCGGTAACAGTCATAACTCATAAGTATAAATAACATACAGCCATACAGGTAATCATAGGAGTAGGGTGATCAAATATATTGGGAGGGCTGAAGCTCATTATAAATTTACGATTGCATTTCATGAGGGGCTCTGCCCTTCACACCCTCCATTTACCGATTTATGTTAGTGCAAAAATTAAAAAAAAATAAATATGACTATGTATCTTTAGTATTTTTATATTTATATATTTATTATATATATTTATATTTTTTTATATATTTCCATGTACGTATAGAAAATGCTATGTACAGTAGACGCCGCTTATAAGACTCACGGAAATAAGGTTCAGTCGCTTATTAGACTCAAAATCGTCTGGAACGGCCCGGACGAATCCAAATACATTAAAAAAAAATCGGTTATAAGACTCAAATTTCGTAAAATAAATAGTAGAAAATAAACTTTTTTGGTTATAATTAAAAAATAAATTGGTATTGAAAAATTAAACAATATTCGTGTTGATTATTTCTAGTTTCTGGTGGTACCTTATAACGTATAATAAAAATAAATAATAAATACATTATAATATGTACATACCTACATCCTTTATAATTTTTTATTAATGTATAATTTTTATAATATTTTTATATGTAATATTTACCTATTATAATTTTAGTTTTTTTTTTATCAGGATTATTAAATTTATTCAATAATAAAGTATTTAATATGTAATATGTGTTAAAGTATTAAAATCAAAGCAAAATATGTAATAAAATAAAATTTATAAATACGTAATTAATTTTTTTTTTCCACTTCGCCTATAAGATTCATTCGGTTATAAGACTCACTTTATGCTGGTCCCAAAGTGAGTCTTATAAGCGGCGTCTACTGTATAAGCATTTGGTGAAATTGTCAAGTAACTATGGTTATTCGTTTTTGAATTACAACAAAATATCGAAAATCGATTGAGGAGAAATAGTTAATTTAAGGGTGAATAACCAATGTCAAAAAAATTTGAACTTCAAAAGCTTATAAAAAATTATTGTGGTTTTCCGGTAAAAATACTCGTTTTTCCTTATTTTTTTATTTTTTCCAATCATTATTAAGAAAAATTGGAAATTTATGAATCATAAATAGGTACATATTAATAAGTAACAATTAATTGTATAATATAGTATACATCTAAAATCTGGCTTACGAAAGAGCGTTCAACGTTCTGAGTTTAAATATTGTCAAAACCAGAGGTTTTCAGATTTGTAGTATTGTTTGGTCGTGCAGCTAGGCTACAGTTTAAAAAATCTAGCCAATATGTTTAACAATCACTTATTAAAAACGACCAGGAGGATCAATTTGTAGTAAGCAAGTTACTACGTGACAATAAATCATAAATCACAAGTACATAGTCATTGTAATATACGATACCAGCACGTTACAAATTATTAAACTCAGGCCCTGACATTGAACGCTTACTTTTCGTGAGCCGGATTACAGCGAGAATTAGGTAACTTTGATATTTTATTAGTTTTTATGGGGTGATAAACAAATAAGCGTTGCTCAAAATTGGATAGAAAATAAAAATATCTGTACCCACCCCAAAAACATATTTATGTTAATATGTATATTATAAAACGCATATTTTTGGAATATGTACCAATATAATATTTTAATAAGGACTTATAAAATGTATCACTCACTTCGATAAAAGATGCATTGATGTAGTCATCGGTATCGCCGGACCTTAAAATCACTCGGTTGTAATCATCTATGTAATATATTATACAACAAGACCAACACGCAGGGTGAGTGTATGTAAAATAATTAAATCACTAAATGTTCTGGTCTTACATGGTAACGCGTTGATGTAACGGTTTTTGAACTTGTTCTGAGGCATCACAGCCACATCCGTCGTGAAGTTTGATTTCGAGTACATATTTAGTAGGTCATATTCGGCCTCGATCTCTTGGGGAGTTTTGGCCCACAGGTGTTTGAAGTTCATGTCACTCGGCAAACCGGGCTCTTGGCGTGTCGAAGTCGGGTGTACCACTCTGTATTGTACGGCCCTGTTTCATTCGATTAAAAACCTGTACGCAGTGCCGCAGTGGCATATTTAGGTAGGGAAAATGCCTATCTCCTCTGGCTGAATTTTTTTTTATTTGATTATTTACATTTTTTAACTACCTACCTACATATTCAAATGGTGAAAATGGTAAGATATTGTCCGTCAATATAATAAATAATAAAATTTTTTGATAACATTATCTAGTCTTTGTTAACAAGACGTCAAGACGTTGTTAACCTATATAACCTAAAAAACCAACCTATACAACCAGAGCTATATACACCAAAGTTTTTTTTCGTACACTAATTTACTATACTATTGAAACTATTAAGACATTTTGGATTTTCTTGAACACCAACAAATATTTTATAGATACAAGAATAATTGCAGTGTTGGTGTATTTATGATATAGTTGTTGTACGTTTGTGAGAAGAGTGGGGGAGGTTATTCAAGCTTTCGTTGTCCCTACAGCTATTAAATCTTGAATACGCCACTGGCCAGACACGGTTAGGTATATTATATATTACTCTATTATATTACTCTATCGTTTTACATACCACGGGACTTTTTCGTTGAGTATACAATACATTCCAGTCGCAGTGATGATCACCGCGAACAGTACACTGTATAACACCAAGTAGTAGACTGCAGTGGGTTTTCCGCCTAAAATGCAGTACACGAATAGTAAAACATCAAAGTTTACAGTAAGTAGGTGTAAAAATCCAGGTCAATTATTGAGGTTTTATTTTTATTCTTAATGTGGTGGTTTTATCACCCTAGTAACCATATTATATATACCAGCTCTGTAACACATATATTTATACCGGCATGCTAACCTGAAAATGTGATGAATAATACTTCAGACCTTGTCCAATATTTATTATTTTACTCGTTATGCTTTGCACCATAATACGAAATTAAATAATAATAATAATTATAATTGTTATTTATTACTCTAATATACAACATTTACATAATTTAAGCATAGGCAAAAATTGGGAGGGGGGCTTGGGGGTGATAAGCCCCCTAAACTTAGCCATAGCCCCTCCCCCCCAAAAAAAACCTAGGATATACAATTTTAATATGCTATATTGCAATGGTCTACTTGCTTTTAATATAGTTAGCCCCCCCAAGCCAAAAGTTGAAATTGGGCCAATGAATTTAAGTCCAGCTTTCGTTATTTTAGTTCCTGTGCGAAGCATTAGTATAGAATGTATTAGTTTTATATTAATGTTGTATTTTTTGGTATTTTATCGTTTTCTACTGAGATTGTTTATTTACAAATTTACATTAGCTGATAAATTGTTGCTACTTTTTATCTAACTACGTATATGTATTCTAAATTCTTGCAGCACTTACGCGTAGTGAACGGCACGGTCCATGAATCTTGAAACCCGTCTGCGGTAAAAGCCCTGAGTTTCAGTCTGTAATTAGTAACTGGTCTCAGCGGCCCGTTGCAATAACTTTTCATGTCGTTCATGGAACAGGTGTCATCCGCGCCAATGTCGAAAACCCCATCGTTTTGGTCTAAACGTCGAACAAAATTACAATATTATAACATAATATTAGTAATATATCAAATGTGAAACTTAAAAATTACCGAATATTCTCATTGTTAAATCTTTTTTTAATCGTTAAATCCATCCAAGCGATACATTGATATTATTGATAAGATAAAATATTATTAGTTTGAACAAATGTTTAGAATTTTGGTCCCCCCCTCCCGAATCGAAACGAATATAGGTAATATTTATACTTAGGAGTGGTATTTGAATCGAGTGCCTGGGCCACCTGGGGGCGTAATAATTCTATATGGATTCAACGTTCAAAGTATACTCTTCGCAGAACCCATTGGACAATGGAAATCGTAGTATAAAAATGAATATGGGCCATCACGTAACATTTTAAATATAACAGTAATATGTACATAATTTAGCTTATAATTGACATAAATTATAACCAGTTTATATCTGGTATATAAAGGTGTTATATGTCAATTAAATGCACTGAAAAACTGATTACTTCATTCAAATCGGGAAAAATATATAGGTACCTAATCTAAAAATCTAAAAATCTCAAAATACAAAACTTGAATAAAAAATAAAAAAAGGGCAAACTATTTTAAAGAAATAATATATTTTAGAATATTAATGAATAGGTAATTATTGAAAAAATATTTTAAATAAGCCATGGTTTAAATTTACGAATACCTAATAATAACTACAAGAAAATATTTACTCAAAACCACTTATTATTGTATAGCTGAGCATGCTAGTATGATAAAGTAAAACTAATTTAATTAACTCGATAAATTCCTTTAATAAAGTAGGAAAATACAAACACAGGGTAAAGTATTAAATTCACAACCATGCCCATCATAGCAATATAGAAGGTGATTGTGGGGGGGGGGCATATAACCCAAAAAATATTCAAAGCACTCTCTGCAAAATTAAAATAATATTATTTTATTTTTATGTATAGCTCATATTTTGTAGGATGATTCTCACCCCCTCCTAGTTTTCTAGAATTATGACTCCCATCCCCTCCTCCGAAACACGTATCATCAAAATAAAGAAGGTACACCAGTGTACAATACTCACCTTTAAAAGGCATCCACCGGTCGGGGGTCGTCTGGTACGCCAGTATGAAAGGGTACGGCGCAGCTTCGGCCCACGTCCGCATTATAGGCGGCCAGACATCGTCGTCCATCTGCTGTCGAGGATTATTCAACCTGTTGCCGTGTTCCGGTTTGTCCGGAAATCCGCCGTCCTGGTAAACGATTATCGAATAGTATAGGATGTTTCCGGAGGCGCTCGTGAACAAGTCGCCGGGTATGGACAAATGGACCTGCGTGAGATGACTGTCGGACACGGTCACTCGTAATTTGCGGTACGTATCGTATTTATTCGGTAAATCCGGGCCTGTATAATATATCATAACATTATGAAATCATGTAAAATACAAAATAAAATAGTTTTGCTCTAAATTAAAAATATTACAGAACCATTCACATTAAATTGCTGCAGTTGTTACAAGGAAGTGCTGGGAGTTGTTTTAAGTTGATATAAAAAAGATGAAAAACATACAAATCCTGACTATAATTTTTATTTAAATATAAAAATGTTTTATACTTGTCGATGGTGTGATAAATCGAATGCGTTTGTCTTGACCCGGGTTCTCCACAGAATCGGTTATCGCTGCTACCGTACAGACGTACGTATATTCAGGCAGTAATTGAGTTAAACTATATTCGAATTCCGTTTCATTGTCCTGGTAAAATATATTTTGTAATCAAAAACATGTTTACGTGAATGGTTTAAATTAAAAATGTATACCGGGTGTGGCAAGTGATCCATTTACCATAAGAGTATAAGACACTCTATTTCAAAAATTATTTTTGAAAATATTATTTTTACATAATTTTAAGTCCTTTGAAAACGGCATTAAAAAAATTAAAAAAATACTTTTTATTGTTACCTATCATTTAAATTTTTATTATCACAACATATGCATTTTTCATTCCTTATTCTAAAGCAAAATTTATTTTGGAGTACTTTGGTATAAAAAAAAAATATAGTTTTTGGACGAGTAGCTTAGTTACGACTTATGAGTTATAACTAATAAGTAATAAGTATTTAAAGTTTAGATGAGCGTAGTGGAGTGGTATAGCGGTATCCCGCAAAATATTTGTCTACTACTCCACTCATCTAAACTTTAAAGTTTAAACATTTATAGTAGTTATAACTTCTTGTTTTATAAATTGAACGAAATACTCTGAATAATATTCTGTTTCAGAATATGAAATAAAAATGTACCTATGTTGTCATTCAAAACAGCAAAAATATAATTTCTTTTCCAAAAATGTTACTATGTAACAAATTAAAATCGGTAAGGTGGGCTAGCCCAGTGGGCCGTTGTCCTTGGTTGGGTTTTGGTCTGGTGCCTTGTAAAGGGTACGAATATATCGTATAGGACATCGGTACATAAACATAGTAATATGATAAAAACATAATAGGATTATATAAAACAGAGGTGTCATCAAATTTTAATTTTCCAGTTTCTATAACGAATAAATCATAAATTACCTAATTTAATTTACCATTATATTATTATTAAAAAATATTTTGGTTGCTAATCCCTCTCTAGCTCCCAACTCATTACGCCTTTGGTCAGGGTGGGGCCACTGTTATATATCTGGGATAATGGGCTTGACCCTACCCAGTTATCTAAGTCTCTGAATAAAATTATGCAAAAGAAATACTTTCAAAAACATTTGTGTTTTTATAGAAATAATAATGAGTGTCTTACGTTAAATGGATCACCTGACACCTTGTATATTATATAATATTATGTAAAAGATAACATATTTTAATAATAGGTATTAATGAATGAATTAAAAATACAACTTTGAAAAATAAATACTTATTTACACAGTTGTAAACTTGTAAAGCATTTTACAATCTTTTCCAGTATAAATATTAACATACGAAATATATGCTCAAACATTTAAACTTATTTATATCCTAATAAATTAACTCCTAATAAATATTAAACATTAAAAATAATCATTCTTACTGAAATATCGCATTTAATACTAAAAATGTGATTATGAAATCCAAGTCTTTCTCCCACCAGTGTACTGTGGAAAAATGCAATTTTTCCGTTTGGCATGCAAGGGTACTTCCAACTCAGGACGACCAAATTGAATTCTATCGATGTGACTTCTAGGTTTTTGACCGGAGAACTAGCTGCAAAAATATAGAGAACATGATTAAATGTATAGGATTAAATATATATTTAATAATTTAAATGTATAGGAAGGTAGAAAATCGTCAATTAAAGTGTTTTATATATCATATAATATTATGCAATAAAAATGTGAAAAAGTGAAGTTGAAATTCAAGGAGCTCCCTGATTAGATGAAAACATAATTGTTTTCTAATATTACTATAGAGTATAAGAGAAATAAATCAATAATACAAAAAAGGGTTTAAAAATTAAAAAAAAATTAAGTGTACCTAATATTAAGTTTTATATTTTAAAGGTACTATTCCACCAGCTCTGATTATAATAATATAATATAGTGTACCTATAGTAGTATAGTGTATACAGTGTATACCTGTAAACGTACCAGTAAACTTTATATTTACTGCTTATCGTTTGTAAAAGAAATTAATTTTAAAAACACATTTAATCTGGTGAACTAATAATCCGTAACTAATAGATTATTCAATAGAAATAATAATGTATACATTACTCGAAGATAACGTGTGCATCGTAATATTTGTCGAATTTCCAACACCGGACTCTGTGGCAGCACTCAATTCTACGAGGTAGCAGCTAGCAGGCATAAGATTCGAAATTTGATACTGGTACGTCTGGTCATTTTTAACGAAATATGTGACCACGGGTTCCATGGTTCGGGGAGGGCAATGATTCGGTGGATCGTATAAAAAATTCTTGAACGTAACCATCCAACGGTATTCGTCGATTGCATCGTGCGATATCGTAGTAGGCGCTGCCCACGCAAGGATCACGCTGTTGGCGGACAATTTAATGACGGATAAATTTGTCGGTGAGTCTGGCACTGTCAACATAATATTATCGAAATATAATATTGCGTATAGCTATAATATTATTATGCCACTCTGTATACACGTCACCGCAACACAACCGAAAAATGTATTTGAGACGTACATTTTCGGCGACCCTCAACCGCATACTATATGTCAATTTAATTATAATAATACCTACCCTGTAACTTTGTCCGAAATATGATTTCGTCACTCTTTTCTGAATAACCTTGCTTATTAAAATACGCCGAGTAACAAATGTATTTTGTGAAAGGTTTCAAGTTATCTATGACTACTGCTTGGGCTGTTGTATATGCTGTCATCTCGAGTGAAGTATTCAAATACGAACAGTTTACGATTTGGTGTATAAAATTGCAAACGGAATCGATAGGATGATCCCACTGCAGAGTGACGTTATTACTGGTTAAAAACAATATTCGTCCATTCTTGGGCTTTTCCAAAACTGCAAAAATAACATTCATTATACTACTTATATACGAATTCAGAATTCATCGATCAGGAATTGTCTAGCAACTATAGCAGTACCAGCCATATAGACCGGAGTTAGTTATAATTTTAAAAGGGGAATACTTATATCATATCAAAGTCGCTCTCTGCGCTTGCAAATTCATCTTACCTACAAACACCATGAAAAATCTAACTCTGATTTATTTTAAACATCCTATATCAAACATATATACGAGTATGTAATATGTATATAGTATATGTGTATTGTATTAGAATTTATGAACAACAACTTTAAAGAAATAAGAAAGACAGGTAGATGAAAATTTTAAGCAAATTTTTTTGGAAAATTGTACCACTTATGTTATTTTTTTGAAAATTACTAATATCAATAATATTTTTGGTGTAAATACCTATTTTATTTTGCAGGTAGGTTAGTTTATAATATATAAAACTATATATAAATGTTCTATGATGACGTATATATTAAAATACCATCAAGTATACCTATTATACCTATGTATCAGTATATTCAAAAGATTCTTGTCATCGTAATATTAATTATTATCTTAGACTTAATAAAATTTATCTTGAAATGATAATCAGTTGTAGATAAAAAGATAATAAGTGAATAGTGAAGTATTCCGATGTGGCTAGATTGGTGGAGACCGCATGAGTTAAATAAATTCGAGTTGTATATGGTGCTGTAATGGCAATCAATGATAATTTTACTATATGAATCATAATATTATTGAAATCATGATTTTGTAGGACAAAGAAATGTTGTATTATCGATACCACAATGGATCATGGATGTAGAATATCTGTGGATACACTGAGTTATATTTTTACTTGGATGATATTATACCTTCGGCGATTACAGTGGCTTTGGTTCTGGCTGGCATGCCATTCTCGGTGTCAGTCATCTTCGGCGTGACCGTTATTTGGTACGTTACACAAGGCATTAGGTGTGAAATAGTCAAAGAGTTGGTCTGCAAATGATTTAACATGTTGGTAAATATTGACAATAGTTTAGTTTAAATTATTACTGATTTATTAAACTTATTTACTAGGTCATTTTTTTAGTTTTTTATAATACATATAAAAAGAATTATCAATACATTTTTAGAGCAAAAAAATGTAATTTCTTACTTCATTTTGTCATAACTGTTTTTAGATTTAAGAATAAGAATCAATGGTAGGTACGTACTTCAGTTATAATTGTAGAGCAAACGAACATATCGTAGCAATAATCGATTACGTATTGACGAAAACATAAAGACGAATTAATCGGTTTATCCCATCTAACGAATATAGTTCTCGAGCCATTTGACAAAGCTGTTAATTTCACTACAGGCCCAGGTACTGAAATAAGGAAACTTTAAAACACTCAAATATCATAAATCAAAAATAAATGTTCAACCTAACCATTCCGGTCAACGTGGAGGGAAGTAATTGTTGAGGTGTGTGATCAGTTTTTAAAATAATGACAACCATACAACAATGTTTTGTCAAGGACCAAGAAAAAACTAACGTGCCTAGGGCTATATTTTCAGGTCCTATATATAACTCAATATTTTATACATAATACTACGAGTATTTAATTTACATTTATACAACTTAAATAATATGTATAGGTCCATAATATGTTGTGTGTAGCTCTAACACTTATTTCATATTCCTAGAACTACCCCTATATTATAAATAGAATACTTTCAGTTTATTGTCAAGTAATCAATATCAAGTGTCCAGAAATGTTTTGAAAATCCGATAAGGCTTTCTCGGGTGAGTGTAAGGAAGTCCGAGGTACCTATATACATACTTCCAGTGTCCGTTGTCACATTGAATGCCACGGGACTTCCTTTGACGCCAACGAAGTCGACCGCGGAAACGTAACCAAAATATGTGACGCAGGGCTCTAACGCTGTCATTATGTGATGGTCAAATTCAGTTTGTATTTCTTGGCCAGTGTCCCTAATTGAAGTCAATGAGACGTGAAAATTCGCGGTACACAATTTCTGTTCCGCTGGGTTTTCCCATGAAATCAAAATCGAGTGACTCGAAATAACTAAGGTTAAGTTCCTCACCGCTTTCAATTCTAAAATTACAATATAGATATAGCTATACATTAGTCATGACTATTTTTATTTAAATCCACGTTGTACGACCCAATAGAAAAAAAATTTAATACAGTGGACGCCACTTATAAGTTATAAGACACATTGGGACCAGCACATGGGTGGTTGTGGATTTTTAAATAAATAAGATAGGTGGATAGGTCCATGAATGAATCGCCCGATGCCAAGAAACGAAGATTCTCAATTATCAAAATTTTCAATTAATCACCAACTTTATTTTTCTATTTTTGATTTTACATCTTTATTACATCTATAAAAGAAATAATTGTATACAATAGTATTCATAATCAGTGGTATTATTAATATTAAGTAGGTAATATACATTTCAAATTATATTGCCACTTTACTTATACATATTAATGTTTATTAAAATTTTGTTTTTTTCTGTTACTTTCGTCTATTTTGACAATTAGTCGATAGAAAATTAGTGCCTTGGTGATGTGTGAAACACGTTCACTATATTGTTGTTGTACATATAAGACATAGGCACATATAAATTGAAACCACTATACGTATAACACAAACAACTTTTTAAAAACTAATTTATTTCGATATTTCACCAAAAATATCCTTATAATCGAATTGGTTGTATTAGAAAAACCAATTTTATTAAAAAAATTATTTAGATACACTAATAACGCAACCGGGCAATTTTGAATCTACGCCGCATCCTACGTGAATCCAACAAATACGACGAAGTACAAACTGTTTTGTTTTTCGTCTCTTTTGTCAGATTCATGTCGGACACTGCGTTATAAGCGACTGAACCTTTTATCCGTAACCCGTGAGTCTTATATGTAAGTGGCGTCCACTATAGGATAATATGTAAGACATAATTATTTTGGTTTTAATTTATTATACTTTTTTACTCACGGGAAGTATGTGAAGTCAACGCTACTGTAGAAGTAAAGGGACCGCCAAACGCATTTTCACCGGCTCCATAATATAAACTCCTCACCGTGATTATATAGGCTGTGCACTCCATCAACCCGGTCAGTGTTAAGTTGTTGCTACTAGTTAACTTAACTTCGGTGTTGAGTTGAGTGGAATACGTGAGTGAATAATTTACACTGCCGCCGATGTCTGGCAATAGTCTCCATTCGGCATAAAACGCTGTAGGGCTAATAGAGTCTATGGTCAATTTAATGACACGTCTCTGGAAATCTTCTGATTGCAAAATAAAAAAAAATAAAACAATACAGAATTCAATAATGAAATAATTATATCACTGTATAGTGTATATGTTACAGAAAAAGTGTTGAATCCGGCTTTCTATAAAATACCTAGGCCCTCTATGCAATAATGAAAACTAACAGGAAAAGTATATACAATTTATATAATGACTACCTGTAGTCTATATAGGTCTATCAATATAATTCCGAATCTCGCGAATGGGAAGTGTATTAAATGTATATAAAATAATATACTTTACAAACATGGTCAGATAAAATCTTAAACCGGCAGAAGTCGGTGCTCTACACAGTTCGAGTCAGTGGCTGTTTTTAGAGGGGGGGGGGGTCAAAGGGGGCGCTCCCCCCTTGGATTTTAATTACATGTCCTTTTAGATTCTGAGCGGAGCGATGAATGTATTGATTTTACAATGATGTGTGTTTTATTTTTATTTTTTTTGTCTGTCATCACAGTTTGGCAGTTTGGGGCAGTAAAACTGCTTCGATTTTCTTCAACAGTATCTTGTTCGATGGGAAAATGAATGTAGTTGGTGCATTCGGGAGGTCAAATTCCCAGTAGTTTTCAAAAGCGACGTGAAAAACAAAGGAAAATTAAGAAAATACGGGAATTCTTAAGCAAAATCTGTTTTTGAGAAAATCGATTTTGGTTTTTGGTGCAACTCTAAACAAATGACCATAGGTGCATGAAATGTTGACTGAAATGTTGAGATGCTTAAGGACATTTTCAATTTCAATTTTTTTTAGTTTTTTTTTCTATAAATATCAATAACATTATATTTGTTGATTAAAAAAGCTTGATAATTTAATAGAAGGCTCCTAGTATATTGTTTAAAAGGCAGATGAAAAAAATTAAAAATCCAAGGTCACAATTTTGTTTTATAATCATCTAAAGTTCAAATATTTACAAAATACGTAAAAATGACGAAAATTTGCAAATTATTTTGAGTTATAAATTCATGAAAAATTTTCTTTTCAATAAATATCAATAAAATTTATTTGATGGGTAAAAAAGCTTAAAAACTTGAAAATTTAATGTTAGGCTTCTGATATATTGTTACAATAGCAGTTGAAAAATATTAAAAATACATAAGCACAATTTTTTTTATAAGCATTTAAAGTTTGAATTTTGACAAAATATTTTGTAGTTGAAAATGTATAAAATGTTCAACTTTTATAGCTAAGGATTGAAAATTTAAAAAAAGGTTCCACCTAAAAATGTTATATATAAATTACTTAATTCAATAATATCATCAAATATACTTGGTAATATCATAGGCTGACTGGCAGTCTTCGCTCAGAATCGTTTTTCTTATACTATTATATCATGGAACTTAAATTTAACAGCATTCATTACAATGACCCACTTGTAACCTACTCTACAGCAGAGCGACACCCACTTGCCCACTTTTTTTTTATCGAAATTACTCTAAATGCCTGAATTGCTTTAATTATGGTGGGAGGAGGCCCAAACATTTAAGCCCCCCCTTGATGTTTTATCAAAACCACCACTGATTTGAGTTTCTGTACCCGATGTATAAAAACGTCAAGGAGACGCTAGAAAGGTTTTAGGTGTTATTATATAGACAGGTCAAACTGTCAAAGCAATGCAAAAGCAGTTCCGTCTCCGGTTCTTGGTTCAAACATGGAAAAAAATATAAGTAAGGACTTTTAAAATCTTTAAACTCAAGCATCAAGGTCACGATATTCACAATGATATGCTATACACATTTTAATAACGATTGCAGACGAAGTTTCAATAAAAAATACTATAGAGATGTAAGTCATTTACCAAAATTAACCCAAGAAATTTATAAATTGTATTTTTAAAATAATTTGTACAGGTGAATTTTTTTTACCTAAAAAAATACCATATTGTGATCCCCAAATTAAACGTCTTTATTCATACAAAATAAAACAAACATTGTTAATGTAACAATATAATGGAATAGTTGATATCAAATGTCATACGACCACAACTATACATACTGATATAGTGTATTGTTTATCATACTATAAATTGTTATTATCATTGTTACTATCACTATTTAGTTATTAGTTATTAGCATCGCTATTAATACATTTATTTTAATAGTTCATCGTGGTCTATGATAGTATCAGTGATATTGCTTATATTATTATAGATAAATAATTGTTATCAACCCAAATTGTATGTTCATATAAAATAGAAGTAAGTATAAGTCAATAGAACTTAGGTTACTACTAATTAAGTCATAAATGTATAATACCATACTATTCAGTAAATAATAAAAATAAGCGTTGCTATAATTAGGTAAGTATACTTTTATGAAAAAAATAGTAGATAGGCGTTACTGAATGTGTGCCTATGGAAACATAACCAAAATACAAGCTCAGCTTTTAGGGGGTACTGAAATATTGTGAACTTGTTAAATATAACCTAAAATGTATTGTATATTATTTTTGCAAATATAATATTATTATTATTATTATAATCTCCAGTCTCCACAAACAAATATACTTCTTTATAAAATATATTTGCTTTACGGACAATAGCAAACTAGCAGTAGTATGTATACTAAAACACTAAACAATAGGTTTAGTCAAACTGACATGCAAATCAAAATGTCACAAAAAAATAAATTTTTTAAATAATATTTTATGCAGTTCAAAATTTCATTCATCAGCTGTATACTGCAATAAAATAAATATAAATACATAATTAATATATAGGTACAGTAATAATGTTCATACTTTTTTTAAAGACTCAATGAAAACGACTTACGCTTTACATGCATTAGCATATAGAAATCCTAGGAATTGCACTGATTACCTAGGCATTTTAACACATTGACAAATAATACTAGAGATTCTATATAGATTGATTAGGATGTCTTTCGGATAATGCTTATAGGTGTTCAACGCTTTTCCGGTAACATATAAAATCGTAGACTTTTTACGACATCAAAAGATTCGATTAATTTATTTCGACTAGAAACAGTTGGGATAATCTTTCAAAACAAAAAAAAATAGGTAAATACAATTAAATTAATACATATTAGGTACCTATATCGTATATAATATTATTTATAAGCGGAGTGCTCGGGGCCTACCGACCACATGTAAAAATAAAACCCTATTAACACTGCAGTTCTCATATTGCTATATTAATAAAAACTTAAAAATATGTTTGCTTATAATATTTACTAAGCTCTCAAAACATAAAGACGTGCAAAAGTATTAGATGATAATATTATGTTATTATCGTTTATAGTAACAACTCGGGGGCAGTTGTGTACTATAGGGTCAACAAAACTAAATCAGTAATAGATACGTATTATATTAATATTATAGATAGGTATGTCATAGTGCGTGTGCCCTTGAGTGATCATTACCAATTACAATCAGTTGCATATTAATATATAATAATTTATATTTGTGTAGGTACCTACTAAACCAGTGGTTCTCAACTGGTGTGTCACGTATTAGTGTATTGCCGTAATTATGTGTGTCACCAAAAAAATGTTTATTTATATTTAACGTGTTGTGTTCAAAGTATTAATATTTGATATTATTAAAGCATACGATATATTTTCAAAAAATTAGTTCCTAACATTTATTTATATGTCGACAATAAATAAAATATACGTTAATACGTTATAATATAGTTTTTATTCTTTAGCATTACTTTTCAGTTCTTAAATGTCAATAACTAATACCTATATATTATTTATTTAATTTAATTTTATATATAGGTATATGAATAGTGAATACTGGGCCCCACTGAGATGACCCATTATAAATATTTTAATCATTTAAATCGTATACATTTTATAAATTATGAGTTTTTCATACCTACCTAGTTGAGTTTCTAAAAATTGCTACTTTACCGATACAATATTAATGAAGTTGTATTTATTTATTTTATGTTAAATACTTCAAATACGTAGGTATAGATACCTAGTGGTACCTAATTTGCAGAAATTAATTATTTTAGTTAGGTACTACTCACTCGCAATTTAGAAACCCAAATAATATTATATAGGTATTTAGTAATATTGTAATAACTCATAAATTGCACCACAAAATAAACATAAATCAAATAATAAAAACAAGACTAACATTTCCTTCCAAAACCATTGGTTCTCACAGGAAAACCTTTTAATCTTCGTATAGGCACATTTTGTTTTGTATAGGTACATTAAACGATTAAACTATACATTAGACTTGTAAGCATCGTCTACACTCGCCACTGCACAGCCTCGTATAGTAATTTCGTATATTTGTCTTACCATTTCGATCAGATCGGAATAATTTATTAGAACGATCAAAAGTCAAAACGAAAATGTATTGCTTAGCTTATAATAATAAATTAGTAGGTAATTGATTACGAGGTGTCCTCTATCTAAGTAATTCAGGCTAGGCCGGCGAAAAACAAAATACCTAACTTGAATTTCACAGAATCTGACGAACAGAACAGAATGGTCGGATTATAAATCGCACACACTCTCTGAATTTACATAGAAAACTGCGTAAAGCCGGACATACACTGAAAAGTGAAAACCGTGATTGTCAATCTTCCTGTAAAATCTAACATGTTTGAAATTCATCAATCAGATTGTCAATCTTTATCTGTTCATTTAAATACATTTCTGATAGTCATTCCATGAACGATAGTTTATGCCTGGCTTAATGTTAGGTATCGTCAGGGGTTAAAGTGGGGGGGACTCAGCCCCCCTACCTCTGACGGCGGTTAAAAATCGTCGCCTTTAACAAATTAGGATTTTATACTTTAGACATTATACATAAAATTATATATGGAACGGTTAAAACTTTATGGAGACATTATAGTCCCCTCTGGAATTTTTTCCCACTTTAACCCCTGGGTATCATGCTTTTCCGACTTTATTCTTCATTGTCACTAGATCAAGTGCCAGCAGTCGGCTCAACAAATGTTCAATTTATAAAATATGTATTAAATATTTTTTAAGTACCTATATCATTATAACATTATCATACCTGGTTGGCGTAGCGTAGAAGCTACAGTCACATAAACCGTTAACAGCGTTAACGACGCTTTGAAAAAATTGTTAGACAAGTTCATGTCTGATGTGGTTGTCATTTCGGAAACAGTGGCTACTGTTATAGTTGTTATGGCCGTTATGGCTGTTATGGCTGTTATGACTGTTATGACTGTCTATACGATTCGTCGTCTCGTGGAACAACTAAAATACCACTGAAGTGATACACAATAATATAATATTCAAATATTATCTACCACATTATTATTATCATCTAATCGCAGTTTAGTTGTTATAAAAAATTTTATGCACGAAATAATAGTAATTCGTCTTCGAAAGTAAATCAACTGCAACTAGTGCGGTGACCAATGATCGGTGTATTGAATATATAAACATTAAACGCGATAAAAAAAAATATTAGATAAAAGGTCGAATATTATATACGTATGTTATAAATGTTGTTATACAAGTCATATTTAGTTTGAAAAACACGAATGTATATTAATATACTTACATATATTATGCTCGGACGAGGTTTTTTTTCGTTCGATGTCAGAAAAGTTTTTTCAGTTATATATATAATATGATATTATAATGTAACGTAAAAAAAATTGTTTGTTTATATTTAATCATTAATTATTGGTTATTAAATGATTTAATATATTTCTTACTCAGACTCGGTATTATAATCTATATTTTAACTGAACAATTAAACTTGTACATTGATAAAGCAAATACCTACGTCCCAGGCGATGAAATTATAAATTATTATAATACACTAATATAAATATATCAGAATTATTAGAACAACAATAATTGATTCGCAGATTTTTATAAAAATTAAAAAAACATACATCATATAACGGTTAAAAAATCAGTTGGACGTATTGATTTAATTATTACAATATTACCTACACATTCATTTTCACTTACTTGATTTCATTAACATTGCTTGCGTAATCAGGGGCGGCTCTATGGTAGGGCACTGTGGCAAGTGTGATATTTATCTAGGGTCTAGCGCTTTTGAGAATATTATCAAGGCTTCACGTTCGTCCCAACAAAACCACTTAAAAGTAAACTCATAATACAAAAAAGGTGCTCTGCTGTACAGTAGGTTACAAGGGGGTCACTGTATAATGGATGGTATTAAATTTGAATTCAATGATATATAATTGAATAAGACAAACGATTCTGAGCGGAGACGGTATGTCAGTCTACGTATAGGTATAAGACATATTATATATATACTTATCTAATGGAATTAAAAAAAAAATTGATCTATAATAAATTCCAAATTAATCATATCACAATAGCCATTAGATACTTATAACTTGTTATACATCAACTACAAACCATGATACTATAATAGATATATAATAGTATACTTTAGAAGTTTCAATTACCCGTGATTAATATTATACAATCACAACAAAATAACTAAAATAGTTATTTATAATAGTTATTTTAGGTTTTTTAATATGTAATTTCATCCAACTTTGAATTTAAATCGACTATAAAAATAAACTGTGCTTGTGTATTTTTTAGATTTTTGGTAACATAATTAACTATTTATATGGAATCTTGTTTTAAATTTTCAATCCTTAGATATAAAAGTTGCAAATTTTATACATTTTTAACTACAAAATAATTATTCAATTTTAAATTCGATAAATTTTGTCACAACGCAATTTTTAAATGTTTATAAAAAAAAAATGTGTCTATGCATTTTTAATAATTTTCAACTTCTATTCTAAATACACATTCAGTGAAATTTTCATGTATCTACTGCAGTTATTCGTTTTTAAATTACAACAAAATAAGAAAATCGCTACATGAGCAATCGAGTGAATATCCAATGTTGTAAAAATTTGAATTTCAAACGCTCATAACAATTTAATTTGACTTTCTTATAGACATTTTTTTTTTTTTGATAAAGGTAGACAAATTTATGAGGAAGGTTGTATTACATTTTCATATCTTAGGTTTAAAAAGAAAAATTTTAACGAATTCTTAACTCAAAAAAATTTGCTAATTTTCGTGATATTTCCATATTTTGTCAATTTTTTGAACTTTAAATGCTTATAAAAAAAAAACTGTGACTAAGGATTTCTAATATTTTTCATCTGCCTTTGAAACAATATACTAGGAGCCTTCTATTAAATTTTTCAAGCTTTTTTAACCAACAAATAAAATTTTATTGATATTTTTAGAAAAAAAAACTAAAAAAAATGGAAAATGAAAATGTTCCTTAACAGTTCAAAACCAATCATAATATTTTGAAAATTTCATTGTGTACAGAAAATGTAAATATAAACAACCAGTGAAAATTTAATGTATATACGTTCATTTGTTTTAAAGTTACACCAAAAACGAAAATCGATTTTTTGGAAAACCGATTTTGCGTGAAAATTCCCGTTTTTCCTTAATTTTTATGTTGTATTTTTCACGGCGCTTTTGAAAATTACTGGGAATTTTAAATTTTGACCTCCCCAATGCAACAATAATATTCACTTTCCAATCGAATAAGATACTGAAGTTGAAAATCGAAGCATTATTTCGACTACTTATCGTGTACAAAGACACACAAAAAAAAAAAAAAAACACGCATCATTGTAAAATCAATACATTCAGAATCTAAAACGTGAACTATAAGAATATAAAATAAATTATATTTTTTATTGATATATTAAAATTAAATATTAAGAGGATGTCTTACCCACATGAGTCGCCTCCGTCTTACACGAGTATGACATAGCTAATTTTCGTTCTCTATTTTTAATAGGATGAGGTGAGTTTTATAGTAATATCATAGGCTGACTGACCATCTTCGCTTAGAATCGTTTTTCTTATACAATGATATTATATCATTTAATTCTAAATTTAATACCATCCATTACAGTGACTCACTTTTTAAAGTTGAAAATTATAAAAAAACTATTTTTGAATCACTCTGTCCCTAAAAAACTTTGCTATAATATTTATAGAAAAATGAATTGCTGATGAACTAAAATATTATGATATTATTGACATTCTTGATGATTTAAGACATATGAGGGTAATTTATGATACATTTTTATATTGTATTAGGTAAATACAACTTAGGCGTTAGGCACTATATATTTATAGACTTATTAATTTATCAATATTATTTGGTACCTACCTAGGTACCTACATTGGCTATATTTAGTTTAAGTATATCAGTAAGTATATAACGTATTGACGTGTTGTTTTATTCATTTATTTACTTATTCATATACTGTTGTAAGTACAAGGTACTATATTTTTAAGCCTATTTGCACCCTTGGCCCTATATCATTTATATCATAATAATATAGGTATGTAACTGCCAACGGATGACATTTTAGGCCCCACAATTTTACTCTGCCCTGAGCTCTGAAAATCGCCAGGACGGCTCTGAATTAGTTAATTTTAAGCACCTAATTAATATCTATACCAAAAGGCAAAAGTTGTTAACTAATAATTTGAGTTGGTTCATTAAAATATTGTATGATATACAACCTTTCAACAGTTCCACTCCATATATAGCTTACACACAAAAGATATAATATGTAATATGTACTTAATATCATGAAGAAAAGGTGGCCTGCTTGAATGTTGGTACCCTATTAAAAAAACTCTAATGGGGCCACTGGTTTAAAATAAGTTCATAAATAAGTACTAATAACGCTAATAAATTGATTATTTTAAAGCCCTATAATAGTGATTCAATAACATATAAAATATATTTATTTTTTTAAGTGACTGTCAATTTTTATATAAAACCATGTAATTGTTGAACATTTTAGATATTTCCTATAACAAGAATTTAATTTTAATTTGATGATTTATTTAATTTTTTTTGAACGGGGTGAAAATTTACTTTTCTTTATTATACAAGTTCAGTTTTCGTTTCTTTCAATGTTGACTGAAATTATTGGTTTCCGAATAGAATAATTATTTCAATTTTTTCTTTTTTAAAACAAAAACCATATTTTATTTAAATTTTAAATAACTGTAATTCTGTAACCTCCCAGAAATAAATATCATTATTATAGCAAGATTTGGCAGATTATGACAATTGTCAATATTTTTATGTTTGTCTATAGGTATTTGCAATGAGTCTATATTTCTACAAATTACAATCGGATCAAACATTTGTTTTAGGTTACTAAAAATCTTATTTATTTTTGACTTGTAGTGTTTGTGCAAATTGTTGAAATTATATTTATGGTTAGGTTGTGTTAGGGTAATAAAAACATGGAATGGTAGAAACCAATTTGAATTTCACCAAGTCACATAAAATATCAGGAAGCAATATTCGCATGTTGATTTTTAGGTTTATTTGAAGACCTATTGTGATGCCAATTTACAGATGTACAAGTACATCCAAATATGTGGGTACATTCATATGTAAGTATAAGTATTAAGTACTACACTTATAAAAACTTTTATATAGCAATTAGTCATTTAAGAAGGGAGGGAGAGCCAGGGCCGTCCCGAAAGACAAATCATGGGGGGGTGGTTTGATTCATAACTGGCCAACTCAAAAAAAAAATTTTCTCGCTTCGCTCGACAATTACCTTCTACCTGCAGACTATACATGCATAGTAGTCAGTAGACAAATGTTACACAATATTAAATATTTTATTATGTTCTTACTATGTTCTTTTATTATATCAACAAAAAAATATTATAATAAACTTAACACTAAATTTATATACATCGGTTTTTAAAATTGACCATTGATGTGCTATTTTATTTATATCCAATAGGTCAACAATATATTTTTCTACTCCCAATACAATTAAAAAGTTTAATCTCTCATCAGAAATTGTTGACCTAAGATATGTTTTAATCAATTTTAGTTTACTAAAAGATCTTTCGTTTGATGCGACTGTTACAAGAGAAGTCAATGCTAAACGACAAATTTGATTAGCACATGGTAAAATATGCTTTACTTCTTCTGCTTTTTCCATTAAAGAATTAAATGGTAATGTTCTATCTTCTTGTAACATACTAAATAATATTTCTAATTCTGTTTGAACTAAATCATAATCTAGAAGGTAAGCACCTACACTGCTTGGTGGGAACAAACAAAAAG